GCTCCAGAGCTGTGAGAAATAAATCCTTGCTGTTCAGACACCGCCCCACTCCGCCCCCCCTCCCCCACTGTGGTATTTTGTTTTAGCAGTCTGAGCTAAGACAACAGGAAACGTTGGGGCTGAAAACTTAGATTGGGGTCATAGGAGGCATGTAGGGAAGAGTCCCAGATGGAGAAGAAGACAGACTCTGGCTGCCTCCCGTACTTAGGGGTGAGGCGGACAGAGACAGGCAGTCGGGTGGGAGGGAAAGCAGGAGTGTGTGGTGTCTTGAAAACCAAAGGAAGGGGGGATTCATGAAAGGAGCATCTTGGTCTGCTGGGTCAGAGCAGATGAAGATCGGGAAGAGGAGGTGCTAGAGGTGGCCAGGGCAGCGACTGGGTTTGGAGCAGGAAGGCCTTTACTGCCCTTGACAAGTGCAAGTTCAGTGTTCTGGTGGGGACAACCACATAAAACTCTGGGAAGTTTTGCAGACATGGTAGAACAAGGAAGTGAGATGGTAGGCAAAGGGGAATGGGAGTATTATAAAAGATCTAGATATCCAAAAAGATAGAAAAATAACCAAGCGCCCCCATGTGGTACTCACACACAAGTAAGGGGACAGCACTGTCGGGGCAGTGCTAGGCCTCAATGTACCCTTGAGAGAATCTTCAGCACTGCGGGTGGAGGCACCCATTGATCTGAATTCCGTTTTTCCTCCTGTCTCTGGTTTCTTTTGCGTTTACATTGGAATCAGTTCCTGAGCAAAATATTATTTGCATATTAATCAGCATTACCTAATGGGATCATGTAACAGATTTTCTTCTACAGGCTCTAGTAGTGAGCTCCATTCAGTTTTATTTAACTCCAAAAAACGACCTCTAGGCATGTGTGCCGGGCAAGGCTTAAGATGGGACTCTGAAGAGCTTGCAAGTGACCGCTGCCCTAGGGCTCCCCTGCCTCCCAAGGGACTCTGCAGTTGCGTCCCCAACAGGGTCCCCAGCAGGGAGGAGTCCCCTTGCGGGGGTGGAGCGCCCTCGGGCCCTGCCGCCCAGGCTAGGTGTCTGATGGGGGAGGTAGGCGCTCCCACTGCAGTGTACCCCTTCCAGCCCAACCCCCGCGGGGCAGGCGCAGACCTCCTTGGAGCGCCCCGGGGCGGGGCCGGCGCCGCTGGCCAGTGAGCGATCAGGGGAGCGCGCCTGCTCCGCCCCGCGGTGTCCGCCCCCCCCCCGCCCCGCATAGGCAAGGCTGTGGAGGCGCCTGGACCCTGATACCTGCCCTGCCACCCTCTCAGCACCATGGCCGCTCCCGCTCCCCTGCGTGACTGCCAGGTAAGTGGAGGCAGAACCCGGCCCGGCTCCACGGCCCAGGGATGGCGTGGCGCCCGCGGCGGGGCGGGATCGACCAGCGTGGGAACCGAGGTCAGCTGGAGAGTTGGCCGTCAGGTCCTGGCGTGCGTCCTGGTTGCAGGAAGGGACCAGAGCACCCTTCCGTGGGACCCCGGCCGCGTGTCTCGGCCCCTCGGAGACCCCGGGACCTAAAAAGCATTAGCCCAGGCATGGCTTGGGACCCTCCAGGGTGGGGATCCCGGACATATTTTGCAGAAGAAGGTGGAGTTCAGGGGCCTTGCCCCGGAGTTATGCAAGAGGTAATCTGGGCTGGGGGTGGAGGTGGGTGGGTGCAGGATATTTCTCCTCCCAGGGGAGTCGCAGGTCTGTGAGGCTCTGGTAGGGCACCAAAGGCAGCCCTAAAAGTGAACAGGTGTGAGTAGTCTGATGAAGCTGAGAGAGGGGAGGCGTTGTTTTGGTGTTTGGCCCATAGCCTTGCCGGCCAGATGGAAATACCACCCTCCCCACTAAGCAGGCTAGCGTTATACCCCTTTCCTGCCCTCCTAGACCTCCCTTCAGTCTTATCAGGGACTTACATGTACTGTGTGCTTGCTCTCTGAGCAGACACTGCACGGGTGCCCCATATATCCTCTAGAACCCCATGTGGTCCAGCCAAGGATCTGATAGAGGACGTTGCCAGGAGGCACACAGCTACTCAGAGACCACCCCCCCCCACTCCTCCACCCCCCCAACCCACACCTACCCCCCCACCACGCTGGAATTTACATGAGGCTCGCCCACCCAGGGCTCAGCTTCCTGTGCTCTGCACTGTCTCTGAAATCTGAGAGTCCATGCCCTCAAGGCTGGGGTTTCTGGAAACCCAGACTGGGTGACAAACTTCTGCATTTGGAGATCCTCTGTGCTTGGGTGTGGGAGGTTTCCATTTGGAGGATAAAGGGGTGTTCTCTTCTCGCTGTGTGTAGGCATGGAAGGATGCCGGGCTCCCACTCTCAACCACAAGCAACGAGGCCTGCAAGCTGTTCGATGCTACCCTGACCCAGGTATGGCTCCCGAGCAATGCGGTGGTCTCCGCTCTGAGGCCCACCGTGCAGGTTTGAAAATTACTGAAGCTTTTAGGGAACATATTTTTCATGTTTAAATGTTCGGTATCCCCTTTTTTATGCCGGCAAGTAAGCGGCCCTGAGGCACGTGAGCCGCTGTGCCCCGCACTCCCATCTAACATAGGGGTATTTGATTTCTAGCCCAACGCACATATCGCCCGATGCACTCTCATGCAAAGCTGCTGAATGATGACCACGGCGGGCACATGCTCGAAGCTTTTACAGCTTACCACCTTTATCAGCACTCTGGTTTTATAAGCAGCGAAGCCCATCAGCCCCGTGGCGACCCAAGTCTCCTGGTCAGCGTGGGTACAGTAGGGCATCCTGGTGACACAAACACGCTTCGTCATGCTTTGACTCCACAGAGCCCACAGCTTGGAAAGTGGCACATGCTGTTTTCCATTTCATGATGAATTTAGGAGCCAGTGACAGTGGAATTTATGTACTCTGGGGCCTGGTGTTGGAAGCATCTTTGCCGACCCATGGCACAGCGGAGAGGTGGCCCCAGGGGTGGGCAGACAGCAGTGGGATATTTATGAAGGTGCTGACCCTCCCTGGGCATCCCCCTGTGGCCTGCGGGGCTCGATGTGGGTCCCCTCCACTAAGGGCCTGGGGCCCTGTACTGGATCGAATCTTCAACTATATTGCTCTCAGCTTGACTGTTAGCCCGTCCACCATGTTCCCAGCTATTTCCAACACCAGCGAAGGAGCCTATAGTTTTGGAACTAGGAGGGTCTCAGAGGCGGAGTCCAACTACTCTGACAGGTGGGGAAACTGAGGCCCAGGGAGCTGAGCTGGCTCGTGCATTCAGGTAGGGCAGAAGCAGGATGCCCTTGGGTCTGTGTATGCCAATAGAAACCCCCAGACCCTGTGCTTATCATGAGCAATGAGAGAGCACTGCCTACTAAGTCCATCCATATGACTTAAGGACCAAAAAAGCGTTTAGAAGCCCAGGCAGAAGCAACAGCCAGTGAAATGCCGTTAGCTTGTCGCAGGCCTCCACTGTGCACCTGCGAGCTCTGTGCTCTTCCTGCTCCTTTTGGCCTTGGTCGATCCCTTGATTTGTTACACAGCCCGAGTCCTTAAGGTAGCATGGTCTACCCCGACCCCCGCATGGCCTGTGTATATTCTGTCCCATGGGTCAGGGTCTCTGTACCAGTGTGCGTTAGACTGCCTCCCCTGTGTCTTAGGGAAACATGCTCAGCTAGTTCTGTGAAGATGTAGGTTAGACATCGTGATGTCTAGACATCTAGACAAACGTGATGAGACAAGTTTTAAAATCCAGTGTATTGGGGCACCTGGGTGGCTCAGTGGGTTAGGCCTCTGCCTTCCGCTCGGGTCATGATCTCAGGGTCCTGGGATCAAGCCCCGAATCAGGCTCTCTGGTCAGCGGGGAGCCTGCTTCCCCCTCTCTCTCTGCCTGCCTCTCTGCCTACTTGTGATCTGTCAAATAAATAAATAAATAAATCTTAAAAAAAAATAAATAAAATCCAGTGTATTATTATGGTTTTAGGATTTTTTTTTTAAATGGGCATTTTTATTTTATTTATTTTCTCTTGCCTAATGCGGGGACCGAACTCATGGCCCTGAAATCAACACCTGAGCTGAGATCAAGAGTCTTATCCTTTACCAACAGAACCATGCAGGTGTCCCCCAAAATAAGCATTTTGCAGGGAGAAAAGATTAGAAACACATCTACCCAATGGGGGTGAGACTGAGTTGGATCATTGGGCTTTCATGCCTCTTTCTTTTTGTCCTAAATGTTTAATAAAGTTCTTTTTTGGAAGGAATGAATAAAAGGTAGGAAGCTTCCTACTGTGGTACCGGATTTCAAGGCCCATCTTTTGATCAAAGAAGCCACTGCTCTGGGCAGGTCGTCTGTCAGGACGAAGCTTCCTTTAGATGTTTTCCTTTCTGAAAATGGCGACCTGATCGTTTCTAGAAAACGTGCCTTCAGTTCTGGGTGTTTAGTCTTTTCACATGAGACCAACCCAGGTGTGGTCGCTTGGAGTGTGGGCTGTAAAGTCCTGAATTCTCTAGAGAGAAGATCCGGACTGAGACACACGCCTTCCTCAACATGAATGAAGGACTCCCTGGGGACAGGTCTGTTCTGTCTTTTCTGTTTCAGTATGTCAAATGGACCAACGACAGAAGTCTTGGTGGCATTGAGGGCTGTCTGTCGAAGCTCAAAGCCGCGGATCCAACCTTCGGTGAGTGATGCCGTCCCTGAATTGAGCCCCCTCGTGTGGGTCCAACACCTCTCTGGTTCCCTGACTTCGAGACTCAGCTGGCACGGGGACGGCAGGCTGATGGCAGTGATAGGGCTGGCATTTGCTCGGAGGGAGGGCAGGAAGGCGACAGCCACTGTCGGGCTTAGAATAACAGCTGATTTTGTACAGGTGCCAGGTTCCCCAGAAGCCATCTTCCTAATCTTTTCCCTCATTGTTGGTCAGTTCTGCATGAAAGATGCTGATCCCACTTCTCAGAGGAAGAAAGGGAGCGAGAAATGTATCCAAAATGACCCAGCTGGTAGTTGGGTGGCTGGGACCACACAAGGCTTTCTGTATCCCGGACCTGTCTCCGGAGCCTGAGAGGCAGCGAAGGCAGCCTTTCGGGACCCTGGTGAGGTCTCAGCCATGGAGACCTCGTGAAAGAAGTTGGCATCCCAGATAAGCCATGTGAGTGTTGGTGGTACAGTAGTGAGCATAGCTGCCTTCCAGATAAGCCTTGTGTGCTGCGGGCATAGGTAGGTCAGCCCAGGGCATTCTGGAACCTGCTGAGGACAGGGTGCACAGAATGGGGGCAGAAGGAAGCTGGCCCAGCCTACAGGGGACCCGGAGTCAGGAGTGTGCTCAGGCACGCTGAGCAGACCTCTGGCCCCAGGATAGAAGCAGGGACCAAAGGGGTCATCCCAACACTACACTATAGTCGGATCCTGGGTCTCGGGCCTGGGCTAGTGACCGAGTTCCGAATCCCAGCAGACACCCTGGCTCTGTCAGGCTGAGGGCTAGGAAGCTCAGGTAGGGCCTGGGGGTCTGCAGACCTGCCGGCAAGGTTGCTACAAGGGCCACAGGCAGACCCTCCCGTCCCCCACCGCACCCCCCATGCATGGACGTGGCTCAGACCCACTGTGCTCCAGAGACCAGCCCCTGGCACTGGACTGAGCCCTTCCAGCTTCCAGCTTCAGCTGAGCCCTTCCCTGGCGTCTCTGTGCGGGCGGTAGTGAGTGCTGGCGGAGGAGGGAAAGCAGGGCTGGAGGGCCATGGGAGCCCATGGGCAGCGCCTAACCAGTCCACCCAGTGGAGGGGTGGGGGGAGATGCCCCAGACACTGGCACGCACCACAGCGCCCTTGTTAGAAAACACTGGTTCAGAGTGCCACTCCTCCGTGTGCCACTCAGGGTCCGGCTGAGCTCCGACTGTGGTGGGGGCCCAGCGCGCAGCGCACCAGCCACTGGGCCAGGCCCTCCTGGGATGGGGGGTGTTTATTTCACACTCTGGCCAGGCTGGCAGGGTGGGGGCGGGGCAGGGCGGAGCCATCGAAGTCACTCGTTGCTCTCCAACCTTTCCCCAGCCATGGGTCACGCCATCTCCAACGGCCTCGTGCTGATCGGCACTGGAAGCTCCGTGCGGCTGGACAGGGAGCTGGACCGGGCCGTGAAGACAATGGTGGAGGTTTCCCAAACACAGCCGCTGACGCAGCGGGAGCGGCTACACGTGTCTGCGGTGGAGACCTTTGCCAAGGGGTGAGGGCCTCTCTGGCCAGGCGATGCCATGGGCACCCAGTACCCTCAGCAAGGGGGACTTGGGGTTGTTCTCACCCTGCCTCCCTCGGCCCTCTCCCTGCCTGCTGCTGTGCCTGCACCTGAACACAGATGAGGAGACAAGTGGCTAGGATTTCTGATCTAGCGTTCAAAGCAGCTACTTAACTTCTTTAAATGAATTGGTTATTATGTTTGTTGCAGAAATAATAGGACCACCTTAGAGAAATCCTTAATACATATACATACATAATACATGCTACATACACACCCTCGTGAGCGTCTGCTGTGGCTTTCAAGGTTGTCCCCTGCCTCCATTGTCCCCACAGCTGTCCCCCTGTGTGTGGATGTCGTGATCCTGGAGCCCCTCTCCGGGATAGCCAGTGCATCTGGTCAGGCAGGGTTGACGCTCTGCCCAGCTTGGTGACCTGAGTGGATGGTATGCGGCTTCCAAAGCAGTAAGCAAGTTGTGCCTGGCCTTTTCTGCTGGGTCAGTGCCAGTGGCCAGCCCGGCCCGGGGTGGGCTTCCCCCCACCCTACAGACTTCCTGTGGCTGGTTCACCGGCTTTGGCAACTTGTTAAACCAGTTTTTGGTTGGTTTGAATTCTAGAGTAAAGCTTCCCACTGGTTTTTCAATTTTCTGAGCCACAACCTAACATAGAAACTTTTGTGTGTGGGTGTATATATATAGTATGTTCTCTCTCTCTCTATCTCCTTCTCTCTACCCCACCTCCCTCCCTCTCCCCTCCCCTCTTGATATATTATATGCATTTCTGTTGAACCGGTGCAGACTGGCAAGAAGCAAGGGCTTCTCTGCCTCCTGTGGATAAACTGTATGTCCAGTGTTGCTGAGAAATCTCTCCTTGTCTCGCAGGAACTTTCCCAGAGCCTGTGAACTATGGGAACAGATCCTCTGGGACCACCCAACGGACATGTTAGCCCTAAAATTTTCCCACGATGCCTATTTTTACCTGGGCTACCAGGAGCAGATGCGAGATTCTGTGGCCCGAATTTACCCCTTCTGGACACCCAGCATCCCCCTGAGCAGGTATGTGCCAGCTGGAAATCACCTCGTTTCTTTCTTCTTCTCCCTCCTGTGCCCTGAAAACATGACCCTGCCCTAAAAATACTGAATCTACTGTGGCTATTTTCCCTATCCTTGCAAGTGAAAAGGTCTCTCCGTTTGCTGTTCATCCCATCCTATCCAATGGGTGAGGCAGTACCGTATGTATCAACCCAGGGTAGTTCTGCCACAGTAACAAATAGCTCCTAGATCTGACTCTCCAAAGGCTCATTTCTCGCACGTTCTACACACCTGTCACAGGAGGGCTGAGGGCTCTGCAACCTTGTCCTTGTTTCCCTCCTGCATCAGTGACCCAGAGGATCTAGCAGACCACTGAGGGACAGAAGAGGGCATCCCTGGGGGACTCCCAGTGGCAGGGCTCAGAGAGGAAGGGACACACTCTGCCACTTCCAAGTCAGCCGGAGCTGGTCACCCAGCCAGGGGAGGGCAGGATGTGCATCTCTGTTCTGTTCTCGGGAGGAGAGGGAGACCCTGAGTGCCTGAGCCACCCTAGTGACCACCACACAGAATGACCCCTATCGTGTCTAATCACAGGTTGGGGGGGCACCTGGGTGGCTCAGTCGGTGAAGCGGCTGCCTTCCGCTCAGGCAGGTCATGGTTTAGGGTCCTGGGATGAAGTCTCGCTTTGGGGTCCCCTGCTTAGCAGGGAGATTGCTTCTCCTCCTACCCCTCCCCCCTGCTCATGATCTCTCTCTCTCTCTCTCTCACTCTCTCAAGTAAATAAATAGAAGTTAAAAAAAAATCACACGATGGTTATGTCCATCACAGATGGGCTCATGGATTAGAGAGCTGTGTTATCAGGGTTCTTCACAGAAACAGAGCGAAGAGGGTACGAATATCTGTAGCTGTACCATTTATATGTATATAAGTGTGTGTGTGTGTGTGTGTGTATGGAGATTGGTTGATTGATTTTAAGGAATTGGCTCACGAAGTTACAGGGATTGGCAAGAAAGTCTGAAATCCACAGACTGGGCCAGCAGTCGGTGGGATCAGGCAGGGTCTCTGTGTTGCACTCTGGAAGAAGAATTCCTTCTGGGGACCTCACTCCTTTCTCTGACGTCTTCAACGGATTGGATGTGGCCCACCCATGTTATGGAGGGTAATTTGCTTTATTCAGAGTCTACAGAGTTAAAAGTTAACACACCTGAAGAAAACCTTCACAAAAGCACCTAGATATTGTCTGGCTGAACAACTGAGTGCCATAGCCCTGCCGAGTGGGCCGGTGAGATTACCTCATCACAAGAGCCCGGCAGGACCGGGTAAACCATGAGCATTCCGTACATGTGTAAATGTTGCAGGGGAAATGACCCCGATAAATATTTAAAAGAAATATTTAAATATTTAAAGAGATACTTAAATATTTAAGAGAAATACTTGAGTGTTTGAAAGAAATAAATATTTGAAAGAAAAGTCTGAAAGCCAGTGTGCTAGGACGTGGCTTCTGTGAATCACGAGAGCCAGGCTTTGTCTATGTGCATGGTAGTAAGCATAATGTCTGAGTCACAAATAGGAACTCCGTCACTCTATCGTGTTTTCCCATAATCCCTCCAAAGCCCAGGAGAGAATGCTCCTTTCAGCCTGGTACTCTGTGCTGGCGATTATGGCTGAGAAATCATAGGGCCCATGTATCCCGGGAAGTGTCTTCAGGCCCATCCGGGCTGGCCCTGGGCAAAGAGGGCGCAGGACAAAAGGGTCCCTGCCTCTAGGCGCTGGGTCTGGGGAGGAGCTGCCCAGGGAGCGCAGGACAGGCCGGGGGCTGGGCACGCCTAGAAGCCACCACCAGCCTGCACTCCCTGGTGCTTCCCCAAGAGGCGAGAGGCGTCCTGGGCTGTGCCTCTCGGTGGGTGCCCCCCCACCGGACAGGAAGGAAATGGCCCCCAGCATCCTTAGGGGAGACACTGTGTTGATGGGGGTAGGGTGTGAATTGCCAAGGGGCCCGCTCTAGACACAGGGCTTGGGGGTCGGACAATGTGGTAATGGTGCTCCCCAACGGCCAGGGTATCCAGTGACTTGGGGTGGTGCCCAGCTGCTGAGGCGGAGGTGCCCATCTCCCAGGGCTGGCAGAACCGTGCCACAAGCCGGGCAGCTTAAAACAACAGACATTCATGTTCTCAGCTTTCTGGAGGCCACAAGGCAGAAATGAAGGCATCAGCAGGGCCATGCTCCCCCTGAGGGCTCCAGGGGAGAACCCCTCCTCGCCTTCTCACCTCTCCTTAGCTTCTGGAGGTAGCTGGCAGTCCTTGGCGCTCCTTGGCCTGGAGCTGTGCCACCCCGGCATCTGCCTGTGTTCTGTGGTTCCAGTGTGTTTGTGTGTGTGTGTGTGTGTGTGTGTGTCCAAGCCTTCTCTCCTCTCTCTTGTTTTTGGTTTTTTTTAAAGATTTTATTTATTTATTTGACAGAGAGAGAGATCACAAGTAGGCAGAGAGGCAGGCAGAGAGAGAGGAGGAAGCAGGCTCCCTGCTGAGCAGAGAGCCCAATGTGGGCCTCGATCCCAGGACCCTGGGACCATGACCTGAGCTAAAGGCAGAGGCTTTAACCCACTGAGCCACCCAGGCGCCCCTCTCCTCTCTCTTGTGAAGACTTTGTTTTGTTTTCAGCTACGTGAAAGGCATCTATTCATTTGGATTGATGGAAACCAACTTCTATGACAAGGCAGAGAAGCTGGCCAAAGAGGTGAGAGGGCCCTTGCCAAGGGGCTGACCCCTCAGGGAGGGCCGTCGGGTGGGGCAGAGCACACACGGCCCCCCACAGGCCTCCTTTTCCTCAGAGACACTGGGGAAGATTCGTGGCCACGGGCGAGCACAGCCTCTCCTCCCGCGGTCTGCAGTCCGCACACAACCTTTCCGGGCTGGGAAGGTGGATGAGGCCGAGGGGGGGCTGTGTTCACCTCTCCCTCGAGGCCCCACAGGAGGCAGCTCCAGGCTCCCCCAGCTCTGTCTGTCTCAGAGCAGAGCTTTAGGGAGATGCCCCGTGACTGCAAACGCAAGCTGCTTCCCTGAGGGCCCTGACCCGGGGGCTGGGCTCCTGCCAGCCAGCCCTTCCCTGAACCTCTGCCTCCTTCCAGAGGGAGGGGACCCAGGTGAAAGTGCAGAGGAGGGTGGGTGTGTGCTGCCCGCCAGCCCCGGTCCGTCCGTCATGCTCTCCTGGTGGGCTGGCTGGTACCCGGGCGGGTGGTGGGCACCCCTCACCAGGGGCCCAGGACCAGGCAACAGGCTGTGGCGGTGGACTTGGGGCTCCGAGTGTCCTCTGTGGTCCTTGGAGTCCCTGTCCTCCAGCCCCTGTCCTCAGGGGAGTGGAAACTGAGGCCAGGTGCAGAGGGGCTGTCACGCATACAGGCACTTTATACACAGCTGCTTAACCTGCTCACATCTACCACGAGGCACTGCCTTCCTCATTGTCCCCATGAGGGGGTCACGGCTCAGAGAGGGGCCATGGCTGGAGCCTCCTTCACTCCATGCAGCTCAGGGAGGGCACAGCAGGTGCTCGGCCAGGCCTCCTCACCGGACCGCTGTCCTTCAGGCTGCCTGGACCAGACCGGGCTTCCCACATCCCACCCAGTGCTCCTTCCTGCAGATATCGCCCTAGTTGGCCCCCAGTACCCCTCCCCAGGAGGCCGTGAGGTTTCTGAAATGTGTTCCGTTATAGAGATGGAGCCCAGACTCGAGTGCAGGGTGATGGCTCCGTGCTTCAAGGCCTCTGGGCTCCCTGGCTGGGGTAGGCAGGCCACACTGCCCAGGGGGGTCAGCCACAGGAAGTTGCCCTGGAGACCATGGCAGCTGGACCCCCTCCTTCGGTGGTGTCCATCTGGGCAGCCAAGGGCTGGCAGGATATTTCCAGAAGCAAGAGGACAGACAAAAGGTGCAGGCTTATGCCTCACTGTGGCATAAGGAGGTGGTGGCCTGGGGAGCCCTGCTCTGCTGGCCTCATGCCCCTTTCTCCTGCTGCACCCCCTCCTACAGGCGGCACACTCTGACCCCAGTGCCGGTACACCAGAGATCACGGAGCAGGGCCCCACAGTGGCAGTGACCGCCACGCCTCCAGGAGAGCGAGGCCCGCGCACCGGCTCCGCTGGAGTCTGGAGAGGCCTCGGGCTGGTAGTGCATGGGGTGTGGGCCTAGCAGCTTTGAGCCAAACCCCAGGGGCAGGGAGATCAAAGGGCGGAGGGCAGGGGAGCACAGTGCTCAGGAAGTGTGGAGCCCAGGGATGGGCTGAGGCTTAGGGCGGGGGAGGTGGGCAGGGCAGGCCCTGGGGGCAAATGCTAGGGGTACCTACTTGGTGGTGCTGCGCCTTTGTGACTCTGACCCAGTGAGGAAACTGATCAGGAGTCCCTCGCAGAGGGTGGGCCTTAACCTTGGGAGCTGCCCCGCTCCCTACGCTGAGCGGTAGCCCTCACGTCCACCCTGCAGGAGGGCAGCACCTCAGTGGGTCCCTTCTCAGGATGCCCCTTTCTTACAGCGTCCCCACGTGGCCTGGGCAGGCCTGTGCAAACAGCAGGTGGAGCAGAGAGGCTGGGCTTGCTGGGGACAACCTGTCGGCCTAGACCCCACAGCAGGGGCCAGGCCAGGGACTCTGCCTCTGGGAAAAGCATGGGGCACCGAGGCAGCGGGGCTGGGGGAGGTCGTGATCTGGTGTGCGGTTCGGGAGACCTGGGCTCCTGTGGATGGTGAGCTGGGCCACTTCAAGCCTCAGCCTACTGCTCTGTGCCTGGCACTCAGGAGGTGCCCAGGACAGAAGCTGAACCCAGGAGGAAAAGAAGAAGACAACCGTGGGGTCGGAATCTCACCTGTGTCCTGCCTGCCTTGCCGGTTACTGTCAAGCTCACTGGTCATGGGAGGGCCTACTGTTCTGAATAGTAAGAACATCAGAATGCGCCCAGAAGGCCATTCATAGGCGTGTGGTCGTCTGCAAGGGGGAGCCAGGAGCCCGAGTGGGGGGCGGCGGTGGGCTCAGCATTCGGACCCTCTGGGGCACTTCACTTCCGCGGTGCTGTTGCTTCTCACCAGGGGGGACAGGCCCAGAGAGGCTGGTTGGCCTGTTGCAGGGGACTCAGCCGCGTGTGGGAGGCCATGGGGCCCTGTGGCTGAGTCCCGGCCTTGGAAAGAGCCAGCTGCGGTCCTGCGTCAGTCAGCCAGCCTCCCCAAGCTCGGCCCCTCAGCTTTGAGGGGGGCAGTGATACCCTCACTAGTGACAGCACGCGGACGCCCAGCGGGGCTGGACTCGGGGATCATTGTCGTTCTGAGGCAGAGCCCGGTGCCCACACTTGTGCCAGCCCCACGCGTGCCCGTCCAGTGCGGGCCCCTTGTCCCAGTGTCATTTGGAGGTGCCTCAGGTCCCCGGGCGGCCTGACAGATGCACATACTCTCTAATCATCTTTCACGCCCTCCCTGTGTAGGCTTTGTCTATCAACCCCACAGATGCGTGGTCGGTGCACACCATTGCCCACATTCACGAGATGAAGGCAGAAATCAAGGACGGATTAGAGTTTATGCAGTCCTCAGAAGCCCACTGGAAGGTACGATTTTTGTCCACGGGTCCCCTGCCTGGAAAACCCCAGGCAGCCCCTTGAGTTAAGCCAAGGCTTTATGGACAGCAGTTCCGGGGTGCAGCTTAGCTTAGCTCTGGGAAAACTTGTGTTCTGCTTAGAGGAGTTTCTGTCAAGCCACAGTGTCCCCCCTGGGAGCCACATGGCTCCCCGCCAAACCTGCCAATGTTTTACAGGTGATTCTAGAGTATGTTTTGTGTTGGGGCATTTGGTGTAAAGGCACGGAGTGGAAAACTCCCAGGGCACAAGAGCCTGTCCCCGCTGAGAACCTGGAGGGCCCTGAGCTGCCCCTTCTGCCACCACCTACCAGCCGGCTCAGCAGGGACTCCTGGGGTGGGGGTCAGCGCCAGGTAGCTCTCCTTCCTCTGTGTGCATCGCGTGTCCCCAGGGTTATCTCTGGCAGTCAGCCTGGCCACCTGTCCAGGAGTGGTCTGCAGCCCTGCCCTCCTCTGTGCTATGGTGGGCTTCCCCAGGTCCCGCTGGCCAAGGCGGGGAGTCTGTGCCTGGCACCGAGCAGCAGGTACTCAGTGCCCGAGGGAACCAGGAAGAGACCAGGAATCCAGCAGGGAGCAGGCAGGGACTGGCACAGTCCCTCCATCCCTCGGAGCTGCTCCCTGGCCTGGGACGTCCCAGCGTCCCAGCAGAGCAGGTGAACAGGGGTGAGATAGCATTTCAGAACGATGATCCTGGGAGGTTCACACACAGATCTTTCTGAGGATCCACAAACACTAGGGACGGGAGAGGCACTGGGGCAGCCTGAGCCAGGGCTTGGGGAGGGGGACGGTGGGGTGCAGTCCTGCCCTTAGGCTGATACTGCTAGCTCTTACGAGAGCAGTGGGTCTGGGGTCAGGGGCGCAACTGTGTGGCCACCCTTCCTGCTGAGGGCCAGGGGCTTGCCTAGGCAGACCTGAGGAAGCCCAGGGAAGGCCTGGCCAGGGCCTTCTGGTGTGTCCCTCCCCCAGATGCTGTGATTTTACGGGTGTTTGAGGTCTGGTTGGACCCTGGGGCAAGAAAGTGACCCTCTGAGCTTTGTTTCCTCCTTGGTACACCTGCTATGATAACAACTATGAAGCCCTTGGCCCCATATGAGTTCCTATGGGTGTTGGTTCCAGACATGTGTAAAATGAGGCAGTCCAAGCTGGCTAGTCCCCTGATGTTTGCATCTGTCCCCCGTGGTGGCTTTGGGCAGCCTCTGGCCTAGCATTACAGCCCTGCGATTGATACTGTGACCTGGCGCTCCCTTTCCTCCTGCTCCTGCCCCAGACTGGAGTTCAGACTGTGCCACCCTGGACACCTCACTGAGAGTCCAGCCCAGACTTCTATGTCCTTAACGGCCCAGTCAAGTGGGGTGAGCAGTTTCCCAGCAGCCCATGAACCACACCATGATGGGGGCACTCTCAGGGATGTGGAAACTCAGAGGAGGCATTCGACCCCATTGGACTTGAGGGGGAAGTGGTCAGGGAAGGCTTCCTGGAGGAGGCAAACACTGAGCTGAGTATGGAAGGATGGTTTAAGGGTTTGCCAGGTAAAGGTGGGGAGATGGAGGGTGTCCCAGCCAAGGACCAGATCGAGCACAGCCATTAAGGCCTGCCAGGGTGGAAGGAAGAGGAGACAAAGGCATCTGGATGTCCTCAAGCACAGGTGCGGGGTGGACGTGGGCCAGGGAAGGGGCGTGGTCAGTTTCTTTTTCCAAGAAAGGGAAGGTAGCGCCCAGGGAGGGGAGGAAGCATCTGCAGTGGCCTCAGAAGGAAGGGCGGGGCATCCACGGTGGGGCCGAACGGGTGCCAGTAGTAACTGTCCAGATGTCAACCCCGCCCCTCTTATTTGGAGGGCGTCGAGCCCGGGGCTTATTGATCCTCATGGCTTTCTTGGGACTTGGACACCCGGCGGGGCTCTGCACCCATTTGTGCAATGGATTTATCACCCATTTTCTCTACTCCGTGCATAAGGAGGGCTTGAGGCCTGCCTGGATGTCGGCCCTACTCCTCCCACTCCAGCTGTGGGGCCGACACGTCACCAGTCCCTCTGAGCTGGGCCCAGGCAACCTGGCCCCAGGAGACATTTCCTGAGCTCAAAGAGCAGGGAGGGGCTCGGCCCCATCACAAAACCACAGCCAGTAATTTCGGTCCCACGGGCTGTCAGATTCTTCTCGAATTTTCTCGTTCTTTCCCCAGGACTCTGATATGCTTGCTTGTCACAACTATTGGCACTGGGCTCTGTATCTGATTGAGAAGGTAAGACGGCCCACTCTTACCCTGTCTAGACGTCCAGTGAAATCAGTCTCTTTCTACCTCTTGCTGTATCCCAGGGATAATTTTTTGCGTTTGCACATTTAGATAATGTCTTGTTGTAACGGAACATCCACGTTTTCAAATAACTTTTCAGGCTTAAATGACCTTAGGCATTTTTCACTGTCTGGACATGGAAATTATGTATCTTGTACATTATCTATGGAGACGATCTAGACGGAGAGTCCTCTGCGGCTGGAGTGAACAGCCAAGCCCCAACCCCCCAGATTATATCTGAAGGAGACATGACACCCTCCAAAGGGTTTGTCCCAGTGGACGTGAGGGTCGGGGATAACACCCTTGATCCCAGGGATTCAGCACCTTCTTGCAGTGGTGCTTACCACAGAGACAATCTAGAAGCTCCCCGGAAGTCCAAAGAGAGACACTGGAAGGTGAGGGCCCGCTGTGCTCAGGGTCTGGAGGAGAGCAGTGGTCCCCACTGAAGGTACTGAAAGGAAAATAGAGAGAAGAAAAGACTAGAAGAAGTACACGAGAAAGCCTGTAACATCGACAAGCGCCATGGGGACATTCAGGCCTCGACAGAAACCGTCCGTTGGGTAGCAGAGGCCAGCGCCGCCTCTCCCGGAGCATAGGGGCTTCTGCTCAGTGACCCTCAGACCCTCTAGGCAGCTCAGCCCATCCCCTCATGCAGGGTGCTGGTGGCGGGCAGGGGATGGACTCTCCAGCCCCTCTCGCGGTGTTACCTTTGACCTTTGTCCCGTGTTGATCACGCCCACTTGATCCTTGCAGGGAGAATACGAGGCCGCCTTGACCATCTACGATAACCACGTAAGTCCACGTCTGCAGCCAACCCAGTGGATGGCAGACATTGGCCTTTTAGTCTCTAACACATAGTTGAGCCCGTCAGCACCGTCTCAGCCAGAAACGCAGCTGGAGAGAGAACTCCTTTCTGGTGCGAGACCTGGGGTTCGTTCTTGCCAAGTGGTGGCGCCGCTGGGACAGGGTGAAGGCGCTCACTGGGTCCCGGCGGGCGCCGGTACAATGGCACAGCTAAGTTGGTCTTTTCTGAAATTCCGGAATTTTCTGTAGTCCTTTCACACGGATCATCTTTGGTACAACCAATGATCTGCCCACAGGAATTTTTCTTTCTTTCTTTCTTTTTACTAAAACACACGCAAAATTTGCCCCGAGACCGTTTTTGACCCTAGGGTTCCGTGGCACTGAGGCCACTCACCAGCCCCACAGTCCGTCTCTGGAACAGACTGCAGCCCCAGGCCCAGTGAGCACGACTCCCCTTCCCCCTCCTCCAGCCCCCAGGCAGCTTTTAAGAGAAAAGAAGGCTGACTGCAGCTCCTGGGAAGCCCCCTGCATGCTTTGTAATAGAAGGCTGCGGGGGGTGGGGGGATGTCACAAAAATGTTTGGGGCCCAGGCCTCTAACCCCGAGGAAAACTGTCAGCAAAGTGTCCGTTGATTCCTCCCTTCGAGTTCTGTCAGGATTGTGGGGTGATACAGAAGGTCGGCTCCCTCCACGCTGTGAGGGACAGGTCAGCTGAATGCAGAACCCGCCAGCATGGTCTGAGGCCAGGGTCGGGAGGGAACAGTTGCCAGCGCCCGGCCTGTGCTCAGGGCTGGGGCCTTACTTCAGGTCTGGCACCTGGCGTGGCCAGACACTTGGGCAACGGGCTGGTTCTGGAAGCTGAGGGTGCAGGGTGATGGCAGTGAATGCTGTTGGCTGAGGGCTGGCTCTGTGTAGGCCCCACATGCGGCCCATCCCTGTGGCCACATGCGGCCCATCCCTGTGGCCCCTTACTTGCCCACCACCCTTGTCCTCCAGGTCTTCCCCAGCTTGAAGGCCAGCGGGGCGATGCTGGACATGGTGGACAGCTGCTCCATGCTGTACCGGCTGCGGATGGAAGGTACAGACGTGCACCCTCCCCTTGGGCTCCTCTGCCCTCTTCCCTCCCTCAGAACGAGGGGAAGGAACTCATTGCTGAGCCACTCCAGGTCCTGCCGCAGACCCGAGCGGCTTGCCTTTGTATGGCCTTGGGTCCCGGCTCTGCAGCCGCCTTCCAGCCAGCCTGAAGCCAGTGGGCTCTAGCCTCTGCCCCCCTTTTTTCCAGGGGCCATCATCTCTGGGTGCACAAGCTCAGGGTCCGTGCCGTTCCCGTCGCCTGCCTGCCAGCCTGGCAGAGCACAGCTGGCACCTGGCCCCTGGCTCTGTGTGCTGCCTCCTTTCCTAGTATAAGAGGGTGACACTTCCTCAACTCCCTGGGATTTCAGACAGAGAGGTTTCTCAACACCGTGACCCCACGCTCTGCAGGCAGCCTGGATAGCTGCGACCACAGCTCTGGTGCTTCTGGCCAACAGCCCAGGTGCCAGACGGTTTCCCCTCTCCCTCAGGCCCAACAGAGCCAAAGCTCTACTCATGCTAGGCCCTGGGCCGGCGGGACAGCGTGGGGATGAGTATGCCTGCGTAGGGCAAGCTGTTTCCAGGAAGGCCTCCCGGTGGGAGTTAAATGTGAGCCATGAGGCCCGTGGAGGGTTTTGCTTGGCAGAGGTGGGAGAGGATGTGATGTGCAGAAAGCAGCCTGTCCAGGGCCCCCAGGACACAGAAACCAGCTGCCTGTTACCGGGCAAGGAACCAAAGACAGGGTCAGTGTGGGCAAGGATGAGAGGCGGGCGGCTGGAGCCCAGAAGAGTCTGGCTTTGATCTGGGTCTGCAGGGAGCCTTCTAGAGCAGGGCTGGGCAGGATTCCCATCTGCCTCATGGGGCTGAGCTCAGGGAGGCCGAAGCCTGCACTTTCTGAAGCCGCCTGGAGCTTTCTGGGGACCCTGAAGACTCGTGCCCCCAGGCACATACCCAGGGAGGCCTGCGGGGACAGAGGCTGGCAGGCACAGTGGAGGGAAGGGAAAGGCCGCTTGCTCCCTCACCAAGCAGAGCAGAGACTCAAGAGACCGGTCTGATTTGCTGCCTGAGAGACAGAGGTCAAGGGCAATGTTTCTACCATAGGGGTCACCCCCACCAGAGGTAGGAAGGAGGTAGTAACTCAGAGGAGTCAGGAGGGATGCGAGGCGGGGGAGGGGGCCAGGGAGCAGAGCAGAAGTAGGGGCCGTCCAGCACTGAGAAATCCCGACACAAATGTGAGAGAATGTTATTTATTAACTCTGCCGACTTTTATTAGGTAGCAGGTGCCATGCCAACGGTAATCCCAGGACAAATTTCAAAAATGGTTTTGGGCTTCGTCCAAGGGGCCAGAAACTTCAATACCCTTCAGTAGGTTGTTCTTTTTTTTGCAAGCATCTACTGCATTTATAATTAAACGAAGTTAACATAAACGGGGCCCAAAGGCCTCTGTGTGAGGCCAAAGGCCACCGGCCAGCCCCGCTCCCCGGCCTAGCCTCCCCAGCTGGAACACAAGGGCCTCTGGGGGACGTGGGGGGGTTCAGGAGGCCCGTGCGTAGAACATGCTTACACGGGACACCAGGCCTGCGGGTTTCTTCCCTGTGCCTTCAGGGGTGTCTGTGGGTGAGCGGTGGCAGAATGTCCTGCCTATAACCCAGAAGCACAGCCAGGACCACATCCTGCTGTTCAACGACGCACACTTCCTGATGGCATCCCTGGGAGCTCGGGACTCCGGGACCACCCAGGAGCTCCTGACCACCCTGCAGGATGCCAGCAAGTATGCCGAGGGGCCAGGGACCCGCTGGGAGGGCCATGGGGTGCTGGGGGCGGGCTGATGTCTGCTCCATCCCCGGCCAGACCGGCCCAGGAGGCTGGGGTTGGAAGCCCCACTGGTGAACGCTGCCGTGGGGATGCCCATGGAGGGTGGCTGTCATACGCGTGTCCCACAGGTGTGTGCCCCCACCAGCTATATCACGCAAGGACATGGCTGTTCTCCTAAGAGCCAGAGTCACCTTTCCATTGCCCCGCTGGGGTTGGGAGCCTCAGTGTCATGGGTGCTGCCTCCCACGGGGGGGGCTGGGGTATCGTGAGGCTCTGGAACCAGAAAGCCTTGCTGAGTACCTTCTGAGATCCTGGACAAAGGTCTTCTCTGCTCTGAACCTCAGTCTTCTCATCTGCCAACTGGGGACAGTGCCTGCTGAGGCAGGCTGGGCAGAGAGGGAGGTGCGGTGGTGTGGCCACACAGCCCCCTGTCCCGGTTCCTGGCATGGGTGGGAGCCAGTTTCCATCCCAGGAGAGGCCAGGGAAGCAGCCACACGTCTCCCACCCAGAGGGCTGGAGCTGTGGGAGCCGTGACCCCTGGTGCTGTCCTGGGGGCGGTGCTGGAGCTGGCCACCAACCCAGCTACCTGCCCGTCCCCTCCCCCCAGAGCAGAGCTGCAGGATCCATGGGCCTCCACTGGGGAGGCAGCTTCAGGCAAGGTGTCCGCAGCTCAGCAGCGGTCATGTCAGTCCGGGAAGGCCTGGGGAGCCCACCGGGCACTCCCAGGATCTGATTCTTGCTTTTTATTTATTTTTAAATTTTTTTCAAGATTTTATTTATTTGACACACACAAAGAGCCAGTGAGAGAGAGAGAACACAAGCAGGGGGCGTGGAAGAAGGAGAAGCAGGCTTCCCACAAAGCAGGGAGCCTGATGCGGGGCTCGATCCCAGTACCCTGGGATCATGACCTGAGCCGAAGGCAGACGCTTAGCGACTGAGCCACCCAGGCCCCCCTGATTCTTTCTTTTAAGACAGGCTTGGAGCAGGCTGCTGCCACCATGCCCGCTGTCCCCGTGACCCAGCTCAACCCCCACCTGCTGGCCAGCAAAGAGACATGGGCTGTGACAGCTGTGTGCCCCAGCGTGGGGGCCACCTCCAGAGCCGGGCTTTACCTGCACGGTGTGCAATCCTGACGGCCCTGTGAAGCTGGCACTGTACCCACACTTTACAGATGAGCAAACTGAGGCCAGACGTTGTGGGACCTGCCCGAGGTCCCCCAACAGCACAGTCCAACCCTGTGGAAAGGGTTGTTCAAGCCAGGGTCGAGAGAACCCTGTTCTCCCCCTTCCCGTCCGCTTCTCCTCTGTCAGCACCCCTGACCCAAGCACCTGCTGTGTCGGGCACAGAGCCAGGGATGCCGGGCTGAGGAAGAGCGGCCCATTCCCTCAGGACATCTGAGTCAGGCAGTGTAAGGTGTCCTGCCAGTAACTGAGGGCACCTCCTTGGCTGGCAGGGCCCCCGGGGAGAACTGCCAGCACCTCCTGGCCCGTGATGTGGGGCTGCCCCTGTGCCAGGCCCTGGTGGAGGCCGAGAACGGGAACCCGGAACGTGTTCTGGAACTGCTCCTTCCCATCCGCTACCAGATCATCCAGATTGGGGGCAGCAACGCCCAGGTAAGCCCCCAGCCTTGGGCTGCACCGCTGCCGATGGCCTCTCTCCGGGTCAGCGCCCACGAGCGTGGGTGTCCTCGTCTTTCCCACACCCAGGAAGTTTGTTCCCGAGAACAGGCCTGCCCGCGGTGGGATGGGGGCTCCCATCCCTCATCCCATGTTACACTAGCCTAACCTGCCCCACTGACTTCTCAGAGAGACGTCTTCAACCAGCTGCTGATCCATGCGGCCTTGAACTGCACATCTGGTGTCCACAAGAACGTGGCACGGTGAGTTCCTCGCTCATACCCATGCCAGGCGTGGGGACATCTCTGAGCAGAGCTGCCCATCTCACTTGGGGGTCTCCCCAGAGGCTTCCAGCCTGCCCTGAGACTCCCACCTCCCTCTGCCGGAGACGGTTCCCACCTTTGAGGTTGCAAGGACGTGAGGCTATGGGGCGCTTGGTTTTCCCTGTTAGCACACTCGACTTGACCACTGGGGTCCACCCACCCCCACGCTGGCCCTCCTGCCCTTCCTAGCCCTCCCAGCCGAGCCACGCTGAGCTGTAGTTACCCAACATGTCCTGCTCCTTCAGGGGCCTGGGCCTTTGCACATGCTGCACACTCTGCTGGGATGCCCTTTCTCACGGGCTCTGCTGGGTTCCAGGAGGCGGGGGAGGGAGCAGGCCAACCCAGGGCCTAGCATGTGAAGCGTACGTCTCCTGTGGGAACCCTAGCAACTATCTCGTGTACACACACACACACACAACTTGCCCTGGGTGCGGACCGAGACACCTTGCTCTGGAGGCTGAGCTGGCTGGGACTCAGGGAGGGAGGGTGCCCTGAAGAAGAGACAGTTGAGAGGCGGCCCGCAAACCAGCAGATCTTACCAGGCGCAGTGGTCAGGTTAGGAGGAGCAGGAGCTGGAGGGTTAGGGGTGTTGGGGCGGGGGCACCTGAATTAGAAAGCACTGCAAAGCCCAGCCCTCACCAGCAGCCTGGGAGCTCCCACGCCCCAGCCTGCCTTGCCCTGCACGCGGCACTCCGGTCTCCTCGTGGGTCCCCTGCACCCCACTGGAACACGAATGGGAAAGGGGGCAGGGAGGGGCTGTGGGGTACCTGGTGGGTAGAATAGGGGTCAGGAGACCCAGTGAAGTCCGTGGTGACCCTAGGCTGAGCCCTGGAGGTCAGGCAGAAAGGCCCAGGGTTTAAGCTGCATGAGGCCCAACTGTCCTAACAGTGTCTCCAAACTGAGCAGAGCAGGTGTTCTCAGCACTAATGAAACAACTGTGCGCGCTCTGGGTGCTCTGGAATTGGCTGGATGGCTGACGCGTCCCAGACACATGCCCCTCACTGTTCACCCCTCCATGGCCATCTGCCGCAGCCACACACCTTTCTTTAGGGGTCACACTGCTTAGAGTTCCAGGCCCCCATGTGGGTGCAAGTTGGCATCTCAGGTTGGCAGGGAAGGTGGGGCCCCTTGGATATCCCCTCTTCAGTGATGCTGTCCCCTCTTTTCCCATCTCAGCCCCAGCCCGAGTTGCCTGTCCTTTCTTGGGGCCCAGGGACCACAGGGCACCCCCGCTTCTAGGAGGTTCCATCACAGACCTTGTCCGTTTCCACAGGAACCTTCTGATGGAGCGTGACGCCTTGAAGCCCAACTCACCCCTGACCCAGCGGCTCATCCGAAAGGCCGCTGCCATCCACCTCCTCCAATGAGCTGGACCTGGCCCCCTCCCCAGCGTCGGTTCAGCTGGCCCCTGAACCCTGAGGCTAGAAGCAGCTAGAGTCTGTTAGTTAGGGCTGTTGAGTAATTTGCAGCTTTAAGCAGAAAGCCCTGTAACCAGCAACATTATGGGAAGTAGGGACACAAATCAATTTTAGACATGACTCAGAATCTTGGAACCCTCTGTTCCAAGGGCCAAGGGCCAAGGCGCATGTGCCAGCAGTTAGAGCCAAAGTGGGCAGCGCTATTGCCACTTGCCTGGCAAACTGTTTTCCCAGGGGACTCTTACACCTCCTGGGTTGGGGGGGCTGGCTTGGCTAGGGGAGGGGAGTCCTCCCCTGGGGAACACTCTCTCCCCTGGGATAAGCCCTCTCCTTTTGTCTTCCCCATCAAATTCTAGATACGTTGTCCCATCTTTGGGGCGAGAGCACCCATGGGGGTAAGTGACTTGCCCAGGGTCACAGCTACCAGAGGCCCTGAGATTCACCTTGGACCCCCAGCTGTGGCACCCACCCCCCCAAAGCAGCACAGGCATGTGGGGTGGCCCTCTCCTGTCTTGGAGAAGTCCGTGGACTTCCCCAGGGAGCTCCGGTGGTGCCAATTAAGGGACCTCGGGTATGTGGCTTCCTTTGCCCACTAGGACTTGAATCACATGGGCGCTCATGCACTGAGCGGGCACACTTTCTGGGGGTTGTGGACTGAACTCAGGGTTGCCCTGTCCTGGCAAAAACCAAAGTCCATGGAGCTTTACTGAGATCCGAGCCAGTTTTCTGGCCCCAGAGACACTCCTGAGCAAGCTGCTGATTTCACTGGAATGTACTTGTGAGGGGCGATCCCCACCTCTAGATGTTTCTCAGGTTCCTTCGTGTAGGCTGAGATTAGATAAGGACTCAGGGAGGGGCAGTGGAGGCCTCCAAACTGATTAGACAAATTTCTGAGATTAAAATAAATTAGTTAATTGGTTCCTTTGCCTGACTGTGCTGGCGGCACCTTTCATCATCTCCCACGTGCCAGGCTGGGTCCTGGGGAGACAGGCTTCTCCTTAAACTTGGGCGTGGGGGGCGGGACATTGAGTCCAGAAGATGGGTAGTTACAATAAGATTTTGAGAGAGGTGCTCTCTCCATCCAAGAGCTAGGGACACAGGCCAGAGGGGAGCCTACCCTTCCATCCTGAGCTGTCCCCTCTTGTTCCCTGCCCACATTTCATCTGCCCTCCCCTCTCCTGGTTCCAAGGAGGATACAACTTGGCCAGTGAAGCCAGGAACCCTGATCCCTCCTCGGGGAAGCCCTCCTCGAACCCACTGTAGGCTGGCGAGGGTGCCCACAGGGCTGTGGGGATCCGGGCCAAGCACCCTCCCGACCTCCTGTTGCAGTCGCCTTGTGATTGAGTCAGGCAAACAGAGGCCTTCGGACCATCGACAGGGCATGGGCACCCCAAAACCAGCTGCTACCCTCAGGAGGCCCTGCTAAGTGGTGGGAAGCCTGGAGCTCCCGGGCTGGGGGGCCCAGCAAAGCCAGCGTGCTCAAGGGTGAGCAGGACCCCAGAGAGGCAGCTGGGAGATGACCTAACCCAGTGCCCTCCTTCGAGCCCCTCTTTCCTGGACTTCCCGGTTCCTCAAGTCAGTTAATTCTCCTCTTTTTAAAGCCAGCCTGAAGCTGGTTTTGTGTTTCTTACAACCCAAAGGCTCTTGACAGATACCTGCAGCTGGATGTGCCTGGTACCACTTTTCTTCTCCGGTTAAGCAGAAACCTGAGCAAAAGACAATGGAATTCATGGGGCGCCCAGGTGGTGCAGTTGGTGAGGGTCTAGCTCTTGTTTTCAGCTCGGGTCGTGGTCTTAGGGTTGTGAGATGGAGCCCCGTGTCAGGCTCTGTGCCCAGTGTGGAGTCTGCTTGAGATTCTCTCCCTCCTGGTCATGCTCATTCTCTCTGTCTCAAATAAATAAATCTTTAAAAAAAAAAAAAAAAAAGCCAAAAGACAATGGAATTCAGAAGGGACCCCATGGACGGAGACTCAGGTGGTGGAGGCGAGGTCTTGGTGGACCCAGCACATCCGAGTGCAGTGGGAAGCCAAAGGCTACAGAGGGAGTCCTCTGATAGAAAAGACGTGTTGGGGATGCCAGCACAAGATAAGGGGGATGCAGAGGTCAGGCTGGTCTCTGTCCAAACTGCTAGACACTGCCCCCCAGCCCCTCTCTCCACCTCCTACCCCTTCAATATCCACCCGCCACTCTCTCAGCTCTTGCCTGGAGTCCATGGCTGGGCTGCATGAGGCTGGGGGACATCACATAACCGAGCCCCTGCCATGCCTTTTAGGGGCTCACGGTCTCACTGGGAGCTGGAATCAGGAGCAATGGAAAGGGAGCACAACCACACAGGGTGATTGGCGTGGGTGATGGGAAGCCAGAGACAAAGTGGAGTCCAGATGCCAGCCAGTATAGAAGCCTTGGCGTAAGTCCTGGGCCTGGGAAGGCTGCCCCCTGGACAGCTCTCCACCCAATCTGCCTCAAATAAACAACTCATTACGACCCCTGAAAATGGTGTTCCTCCCTCTGGAGTTCAGACCTTCCCAGGCCCCTCCTTCCCACATCCTCCCCCAGCCTCCAGTCCCACATACCCAGAGCACAGCTTCCTGACACGGTGTCCCGAACGGAGCCCCTCGTCTCACCCTCCCGGCCACGAGCGGGGCGTTACTCACACCTGGTTTACAGTCCACCGCGCAGCGCGGTCAGTCTGACGCTGCTGCGGACGGACCTATTCACTGGCCAGTGCTCCGCGTCGCTCGGACCAGGGCTCTTGCTCCCCGTGCGGACTGCACCCCCGGGCCACCGCGCCCTGCGCACCCCTCCGACCCGCCCCCGCCTCTTGCTCTCAGAACAGACCCAGCTCCCCCGCGGGTGTAAAGCGCAGGGCCGGCTTCACCACGCCTCCGGCCAGCTCAGACCCTCACCACGGTCCCCCGGCACCCTCGGCTTCTCCTGCCGCGCGGGCAGCAGCGGCGGGGCTGTGCGCTGGTGCGGGCGGGCCCGGGGCTTGGCGCCGACCGGCAAGCGGGGCGCACGAGGCACACGCGCGCCCCCACTTCGGTTTCCGCCGACGCTTCGCGGGCAACTGAAGCCCCTGCGTGTACAGACAAAAAGCTGGGGTCCGAGCCACGTCCCTCGGCACGCGCGGCTACCCTGACGCCAAGCCTGCGGGGACCCGGCACGACGGTCCAAAGAAGCCCACGCCCGCCGACCAGCAGCGGGCGCCGGCGGAACCGAGACTTGCCCGGCCCACCCGCACGCGGAGGCAGTGCGCATGTGCGCCGCGCCCTGCTTCCCGGCGGCTCCGCCCCCAGCCCCCAGGATGCGCCGGGCGCGGCGTCGTGGCGCAGCGCCTTCAAACCGGCCAATCGGCGGCCCGCGCCGCGCCCGTCGCGCCGCGTTTAAACCTCGGGCCGGGGTGGGGCCGTCGGGTGTCGCCGTCGCTCGGGTGAGGGGTGCCGTGGGTCGGGCGGGGTCCTCTCGCGCTTTCCGTGGCGCTCCCGCGAGCGCGGGAACTTCCGTTGTGCTCGGTCGTGGAGTTCCGTCCAGATGAGGGCCCCGGAGCTCCCGGCCTGGGGGCGCGCGGCCCCGGGGGTGCGAGGCAGAGGGTCCCGGCGGCACCTCCCGTGGCCTCCGGCCGCCATTCCCCTCCTCGCCTGCCGGCGGCCGCCCTCTCCCTGCGTCCGGGTCGGGGCTGCAGCAGCGCTCGCCGGCCTTCACGGGGTCCGGGGGGAGCGCCGAGGGCCTGGGCCCCGCACCTGCTCACCGGCCGGCCCTGTCCTCCCTCCCCGCAGTGACTCCCTGACAGCCGTCGCCGTGAAAAGAGGACGCGCCGCCAGCCCGCCCGCCAGGAGAAGCGGAGATGGACGTCCCAGGGGAAAACGGTGCGTCCTCGCCGCTGCAGCGCCGTGGTCGGGGAGCTCGAGTGCCCGCATCTGCGAGAACTTAGTCCCGTGTTTGTTTGGCGCTCACCGGTGCCCTGCGCCGGCCAAAGTCACGTCCCCGCCCTAAGCGTTGTGCCTCCGTCCGGCCTCTTTGGTTTTCGGTTTTCTCCCTCGCGTTCCCCCCAACTTCGGATTTCCCTCAAAGCGGGGGTTCTCTGCAGCCCGACCCGCTGGGTATACCCGGAGCGGAGAACACCGCCTGGCACCTGGCAGGCGCCCGGGACTGGCGGGACCGAATCTGATGTTTCCTCTTCGTGTTCATTGCTGGTTCCTGTCAGCTGAGGCTTGTTTAGAATCTCCGTGACTTTCTGGTCTTGTTCTGTCCCCGTCTGGCTTGAGCATCAGGGTGAGAAGACCGCCTCCGGAGGTGCGCGGAGGCCCAAACCCTCCTATCTTTCCCCTAAGGCATGTGGGCGTCCCTGTATCCTTTGCTCCTGGCAACATCCGTGTGAGGCCGGTGGACTAGGTATCCTGGACACTTCATCCTGCCAAGAGCGTCCTGGGGGCTTCGCCAGTTTCATCACGACTTCCTCCTATCTAGAAACATACTTGCCGCTGCATCCCTTCCTCCTTCCCGTCTGTACCCTCACGTTCAGTACCAGTCCCGAGTGCGTGCGGTCCCATGGGCTGCGCTGGAGGACTTCACCCCTTGTCACAACCCTCCCGGCCCCTCGTAGCCTTACTTCGTGCCTGTCCGTGTGCTTGTGCTCACCACTGACATGCAGGTACAGCCCTTCCACCTCTCTGGCTGGTTTATCCACCTCTTTGCAAGCTCTTCTTCCTCTGTTGTCTTCTGAAGCTGATCTTTCCCAGGACATGGTCCGGGGTCTCTCTCTATCCCCCCGACCCCAAGGGCTCTCAGACGCTTCCAGGTGTTAAACTCCATCTGCTTTGTAGCGGGGCCTCCATTTTGTCTTGGACACAGTCTTTCCCCAGAGTCTGGATTCTTTTTTTTTTTTTTTTTTTAAGATTTTATTTATTGATTTGACAGAGAGAGATCACAAGTAGACGCAGGCAGAGAGAGAGAGAGAGAGAGAGAGGGAAGCAGGCTCCCCGCTGAGCAGAGAGCCCAATGCGGGACTCGATCCCAGGACCCTGAGATCATGACCTGAGCCGAAGGCAGTGGCTTA